GTAACAAGTTGTTTTCAAAATATTTGATAGGAAACAATCCCTAACTGTAACATGTGTTATATTTGGGATTACATTTCTTTTAGTACACTTTGTACTTTTGTTGAGCCCCATCCGGGATTCGAACTGCACCCTCAGAGTCAGCACCCAATCGCCAGCACACAAAGTCAGCCGCCTAACCCACTCAGCTACCGCGACTTCCACAAGCTGAGTGGGTTAGGCGGCTGACTTTGTGTGCTGGCGATTGGGTGCCTGACTCTGAGGGTGCGAGTTCGAATCCCGGATGGGGCTCAACTCAAAAAGTACTAGAATTTGTACTTTACTAAGAAAGTGTAATCCCAAATATAACACGTTACATTTGACCACTTTCTAAATGGCATTGTGTAATCAATCCCTAACTGTTTACGGTGGAAAATCTTGATAAACAGTCAGGTTATTTGAACAAACAGCGGGGAGAACCTACAAAGAGATACAGAAGATCTCTCAGAAAGACATTTATTGAGCTCTCCAACTGATATTCTCAGAAATTCGCAAGCAGACCCTCAAGATCTCATGAGATGCAGTAGAACTCTGAAGACGACGAATATCCGTGACTACTCTGCATTGAGCCTATATATGGGGTAATATGACTGTTGAAATTAAACATTAATCCGATCCTGTTTTGCCTGAAATTTATTTACGCCTCCATCAAGAATGGAACACAAAATGTCAACGTCAAATTCAACCTCTGATACAGTCAGTGTGGAGGAGGGTCAGGGATATTTTTGAAGTTGTCGGAGGTTACACCAAATATTAACCTGTTCTCTGTTATTGTGATTCCTTGGGGACTGTATGCAACATCCTGAAAAAGACAATACGGCCATGGTTACCAGCCCTACAAAAAAGTCATTAAGCTAGCCTTTCGTTCTTTTTCCTTTCAGATTTGCCATTCAATTATTCCTTGTCAATGTATCCAGACATTAATTTAAATTTATGTTTGGATAGGATAAGTTCCTTAGCTATGGTTAATGGCAACACACTGATACTGTGAAAAACATGGGGTGTTCCGATATTTGTTTCTATGTGTATATTTGAACACATTTGACCTGGCATTTTGACTGCTCTGGGAGACTTGGCATTTTGTCTAGCTGTACACCAATGTTTGTTTTCCAAATATTTCGGGCGTTACTTGTTGGCGTTTTTTATACCATAGGTTTGGGGTCCAGCTTGTATTTGCACCTACTGCTTTTTCTACTCTTGATTCGATTGCTAATCAGTGATGGTCAGGCACTTGCAGAGATTCTTACATTTCCAATACAGAAAATATTACATTATACATTTAACCACGTGTTCTTTCATCGCAGCATCCAAAACCCGAGCCGTGGCTTTCCAGGCGTATGTATCAAGATCCCACAATGTAACGACACGAGACCCCGTGGTGTACGACAGCACCAGCTACAACATCGGATCTGGCTATAGCCACACAACCGGGAAGTTTACAGCACCAGTCTCCGGAACCTACATGTTCTGGACAGAATTGCTTATCGATTTCAAAATCTACGCTCCGTACATGTCTATCAAACGATCGGGAAGCACAATCGGCAGTGGTTGGCCTGCATCAACGTCTAAAGATGATGAATCCGTTATTTCCGCTACGTGTGTTAGTCATCTGCAGAAGGGCGAGGCAGTATGGGTGCAGTTTGATAGAAGTATATTGTGGGTAATGACTGTCTTTGTGGTCTCAGGTGACTTTAATACATTGCCAAACTCCTTCTTTGGTGGTGCCCTTTTGACAGTGGACTAATTTTATTACCGGGCATCCACTTCAATCCATTAGGAACCTTTTAGCAGTTTTACCTAAGCAACCAAAATGTGTGATCATGAAAATTTGTGAAGTCACTGGTTTACTTGAAACAAAATTCACTCATTCAACCTTGAGTTTGTTAGGTCCAGGACCTTATGATGACTTACGATATGGTCAGACACTGTGACTCTGCAGATTGTATCATATCTCAAAGACACGGGTTATGACCATGCCGTTTCCGCCTTGTCATCTAAGCCTCTATAATTTCACAGGTCACACTAAACAACAAACAATACAACGTAATTTAGTTATCATCATGGCCATTTCAGAAGCAAGATCTGTTTTGAAGCTGCAGTTATCTCTATGCTGATTGCCAGTAAATTATCACATGAATATTATGAGCAACCATCCACGCAACTATGTTGACATAACGTTTTCAAGATTCATAAGTGGCTAAGGATCAGCATCTACAGGAGAACAAAATATGACCAATACCATGTTTTAAAATCATGTTTATTGCCTAAAGCAAACACATGATGCTAGAAGATCAGGTATTCCCCAGTTAGAAGTATTCTGTAAGGGTTCTCCCAGGGTCCTCTCCATGTCCGCTATGACAGTCTGGCAGCGTTTCTCAACTTCTTCATTTTCATCTGACTAAACCAAAAGACAAACAAATTAAAATGAGTTCAGCTAGGAAAGGAATGGTCTCTGTCAGTAGTGGCAAGAAGTCATCCAGGAGCTTCTTGTGGAACTCTTCTATCACTTCCAGGGCAGCAAACTTGACCTGCACGATCATAACACATCTTGCAGTCATTGATTGATTGTTGGCTGTAAGTAATCGAATCTGGACCAGACAATCCAGTGATCAACAGCCTGACCATCGATCTACGCAACTGGGATACGATGACATGTGTCAGCCAAGTCAGCGAGCCTGACCACCCAATCCCATTAGGTCCATCTTATGGCAAACATGGGTTGCTGAACACCAATTCTTATCTGAACTTTCGTGGGTTTGATTTAATTGTGACTTACTCGGTCAACGATTGGTTGCATGAGTGTTTCGAACCTCTCGGCAGATACAAAGCCATCAAACTGTCGTATAGGAAGCACTTGTATAGTGTGTCAAATACACAGGACATCCAGCTGGGTAGACATCTTCCGGGACCGCTTGCTCTTACCGAAGTACCTGCCATCTGGTAGAAACAGACTTTATTGGTATACTTGGGTGAATATTACAAAGCCTGTACATGTCCTGATCACAGGAGACAATCCCACAAAAGTCCACACATATGCAGTCTTGAGGATCTACATACAGCACGATTCAAAGAAGCTGTAACCTACTTAGCAACGAATCTCCATAGGAAAACCAATGATAAATACAAACTAGCACAAAAGTTGGTGAAAATTTGGTCTGTCCTTCAGAAAACTTATACCAATAGTACAATATTTTCTCTTGTGGCAGCTTTAAGACAGTCGCCACCATATTTCCCATCAGATTTTGAGGTGTTTACCTTAATGCTGATTTCCTTAAAACATGCGCTCCAAAGCACGGAGCGAGATGGATTGAAAGCCACTTTAAACAGTATGCATTTATATTGTGGTAGGTCAGCTTAATACAGGGGAAAACCAGAAGTGATGCAGGTCTTAGACGCTTGGGACGCTGGTTATACCCATGTGCACGGGTATAGGGCTGACAAATCTAGAAACAACTAGAATCCACTATCATTGGTTTCTGGCATGTTCATGGGACAACTCTGCACTGTGCCCTACCGTGCCTCCACTAAAGCATTTAGAAACGCAATGGTAAAAAAGACAACCAATTACAGCATCAGTTTTTCTATCTGTCTGGACATGTATGTGTGCATGCTTATATAAAACCTGGGAGCCATTTCACGCATCAGTGATAGTAAGAATGTGGGATGAATTCCATTCCTCTGTATTTTTAGCACACTTGTCGAGAAATCGAAGCCATACCAACACGCATCATCCGCGCCAGCACAATATTTATAGGAACAATAACGGCAGAAGTTTTCAACTGATTTTGGGTGATGGGATAACCTAGTGGCTAAAGCGTTTGCTCGTCACGCCGAAGACCCGGGTTCGATTCCCCACATGGGTACAATGTGTGAAGCCCATTTCTGGTGTCGCCCGCCGTGATATTGCTGGAATATTGCTAAAAGCGGCGTGAAGATAAACAGCTCGATAGTTGGACTTTTGAAATGGCTTACTTAATTACAGCCCCCTCATAAAACTAGAATATTGCATATATTAGGCGGACGTTAAGCACCAAACAAACAAAACTAACACAAATGAACAGTGGACTTTCTCATCCCTATAGTCCATATTTCCCTCTACGAAACTAGCCAAGCAAAGCAAACCCACAGTACCTGAACATCCAACCATGAAACATGACAGAGTTGCTCCACTTTGGCATGGCAGAAACCTATGATCGTTGGTTACGAATCCTATTATTTACCCTGCGCCATGCCTTTCAGCGCCATGCCTTTGCTGAAGGGTTTCAATAACCTGGAAAACGTGAAAGACAATCAAACACCAGGCAGGAATCTTTCTCATATGGGAGCTAATACTTGGGCTTGATTCTCCGCACGGGTACAATGTGTGAAGCCCATTTCTTGTGTCCCCACTGTGATGTTGCAAGAATATTGCGAAAAAAGGGGTAAGATCATACTCACTCACACAATAATACACTCACTCATAAGAAGCACCAGCATGCCACATGCATATTTTCGGACTTCGTTAATCTTATCTGCAACTACGTCATGGGTAGAAGATTGTTCCGACATGTGGTTACGACTGTCTTGTGCATATCTCAGGAATGAGCCATGATTAAGTTGACGCGTAAGGATACATCAAACGCATGTAGTTCCCAAACTAAACCCAAACGAGGGTGTATTTTGAACAGTTTTGGCTGTTGATGTAAATGCCAGAGATTGATAAGGTATAAACACTTTCCTTTAAACATAGTTTTTCCTTTCGAGTTTCGAGTTTTACATCACTGACTTCCCCATCACGTGATGTCAGACAGTTTGATAAGATATAACACCAGTGGCACGGCGCTATGTTCTACATGCGTGCAGTGCAAGTACTGCAGAGAGTTAGCCATGATGTTTGAAGCAGTTTTCCGTTTGTGTATTTTTCTGCCTTACATCTCCGGACTGATTCTGCCGTTAACGACATCCGACGGTACTGTCAACCTTACCAGTATCTTGAGTCACATCACTCTCCTTGAACAGACTGTGGACACTCTTCACAAAGAAACACATCAGCTGCAGATAGATCATCGGACAACGAACGAAAGACTCCAGCTCACACAGGCAGATCTGAATATTACAAAACAGGAACTACAGATGTCTCGCACAGAACTCCAGGCAACAAAGGTCGACCTTCAACATACACAGACCGATCTTCAAACTACAAAGAAAGACCTTCAGATCGCCTAGACAGACCTCATGACAAAGAGTTTACAACTGAAACAACTGAACTCAGGTCAGTGTGATAATAAAGTCTTTAAACTAGTATGGAAAACCTATTATAATTTTGATAAGCCTAGTCACGAGATTGCTGTTTCAACTATAATTAGTGTCGGAAAATACTTAAAATTCCTTAGAAAGGCGACTTTGCATTTTGACTGGTCGTACTCCAATGTCTGGGTGACTTGGCATTTTGACTGGTCGTACACCAATGTCTGGGTGACTTGGCATTTTGACTGGTCCTACACCAAGGTCTGGGTGACTTGGCATTTTGACTGGTCGTACACCAAGGTCTGGGTGATCTGACATTTTGACTGGTCGTACACCGAGGTCTGGGTGACCTGACATTTTGACTGGTCGTACACCAAGGTCTGGGTGATCTGACATTTTCGCTAGGCGTACGCCAATGGCTGGGTGACTTGGCATTTTGACTGGTCGTACACCAAGATCTGGGTAACCTGACATTTTAACTGGTCGTACGCCCAGGTTCTGGGTGACCTGACATTTTGACTGGTCGTACACCAATGTCTGGGTGACCTGACATTCTGTCTGGTCGTACATCAATGTCTGGGTGACCTGATATTTTGAGTGGTCGTACACCAAGGTCTGGGTGATTTGACATTTTGACTGGTACTCCAATGTCGGATGACCTGACATTTTGACTGGTCGTACGCCAAGGGCTGGGTGACATGACATTTTGACTGGTCGTACACCAAGGTCTGGGTGACTTGGCATTTTGACTGGTCCTACACCAATGTCTGGGTGACCTGGCATTTTGACTGGTCGTAGTCCAAGGTCTGGGAAACCTGGCATTTTGACTGGTCCTACACCAATGTCTGGTTGACCTGGCATCTGGACTGGTCCTACACCAATGTCTGGGTGACTTGGCATCTGGACTGGTCCTACACCAATGTCTGGGTGACCTGGCATTTTGACTGGTCGTAGTCCAATGTCTGGGAAACCTGGCATTTTGAGTGGTCCTACACCAATGTCTGGTTGACCTGGCATTTTGACTGCTCGTACACCAAGGTCTGGGTGATTTGGCATTTAGATATGTCGTATAGGTGATATTTTGACAGGTTGTACAAAGAGGTCTGAGTGACTTAGCACTGCCTGAGTTTGTGTGCCAAATGTTCGGGGTGCTGTTTGTGTTTCTACCCACTGTTTGTCTGCTCGGTCAATTGTTAAATCACTATCAGTTTAAACTTTGAGAGTTGATCCTTGCAAACGTGCAAGGATTCTTCCATATACAGTACAGAAACATTGCATTATATATTCCACCAAGTGTTCCTTCACCGCAGTGTCCGAAACCAGCGCCGTGGTTTTCCAGGTTTTTGTATCAAGTTCCTACAACGTAACATCACTAGAGCCCGTGGTGTACGACAGCATCATCTACGACACTGGATCTGGCTACAACACCACGACTGGGGTGTTCACAGCACCGGTGAACGGAACCTACATGTTCGGGATACAGTTGGGCATTCGTCCCCTATGGTATTATGCAACCACTTCGATCAAACAATCGGGAAAGACAATCGGCAGTGGTTGGGCTGCATATTCTTCTTCTCCCGAGGGCGCAGTTTCCGCTACATGTGTCAGTCATCTGCAGAAGGGCGAGGAGGTGTGGGTGCAGTTTGAAGAGTTCCGTGGAGATATTCCAACAACAGTCACCGTTCGTTCAGGCAGCTATGTAGGAGATCCGATATCCTACTTTGGTGGTGTCCTTTTGACAATGGACTAATTTAATTACAGGATATCTGCTTTAACAGTTTTGTCGAATTCATCCAAACTTCATTGGCCTTCATTATCTTACAATATTTGTACTGGCAACCTAGAGCGATCTGACTTTCTAAAGGGTAATCATAAAATTAACTAATATGTGGGATGAATTTCTGTATTTTTAGCACATTTCGACAAACCGAAGCAATACCAACGCGCATCATGCGCGCCAGTATAATGTTTAGAAGCAATAACGGCAGCAGCTATCAACGGATTTTGGGCAATGGGGTAGCCCAGTGGTTAAAACGTTAGACCCAGGTTCGATTCCCAACATGGCTACAATGTCTGAAGCTGATTTCTGGTTCCCCCGCTGTGATATTGTTGGAATATTGTTAAAAACGTCGTAAAACTAAACACACTCACTTATTATCAACGGATTTTATTGAATATAGAACGTCAGTGCAAAAGAATACCCAGTCTTCATTATCTTTAGAAGCAAATTCCGTTTGTTTGGTGTAAACGGAAACATAGCTCTGAAAATTATATGAAAGGATCACTGAAAATCAGTGATGACACCAGGTGTTCGCGACAAGGGTAGGCATGTCCTGTCCTACAGTATTGTATGGTGTTATTCTCATGAATACAGCATGTGATGTGTCCTTTCAAAAACATTATCTAACAACCTCCGTGGTGTAGTGGTCAGAGCGTCCATCCGGAGAGCGGAAGGTCGCGGGTTCGATCCCCGACCGCGTCATACCAAAAGACGTTAAAATATGGTACTTGTTGGTCCCTGCCTGGCGCTCGAAAGTAATGGGTACAGCAAGGACTGGTCGGCTCGGAGTCAGTATAATGTGTCTGAGTGGGGTATTCATGCTTCACTGCGGCATGGTATCTCAGTGGGCTAGCACTATAAAACCAGCTTAAGTCTGGGCTAGTACAAGCAGCTGCACATACACATACACACGCATGCACGTCGTCATATGAGCGAAATATTCTCAAGCACGACGTTAAACCCAATTTCACCTCACCTCACTTCGAAAACATTATCTAAATTCAAGTGGTCATGCCATATGCCTTATGATGTCAATCACTGAATTGTCTGACACAGACTCCAGACTATTTACACAAAACATACAGCTGGAATATTGCTGTGAGCAGAGTTAAACAAGAGACAGATCAACAAAACAAGTCATGTTTACAGTCCGTTTGAGTCAGAAACGGACCAATGAATTGCAAATTTTATCATTGTACAAAATTGCCACATAAATATAAATAGTACACATGTTTATCATTTACTAATACCCAACAGCTTTCTTATATTTGGAAATTTTCCGGACTCCACCAAAAAAGTCGTTTAAGAAACTATCATAATTGAAAACGCAAAAGTTGTTATCTGTCGCGGCGGGGTGAAACCGCAGAAACGGAACAGCAACTATCTCGTCGTGCACGGGATATACATGCCTGATGAAAAATGAAGTTGAATGCTGACGTGAAACAGGTGATGATTAAAGTGTACGATTTTTTTCGTGCTGAAGCCGAAAGGGGCAAACCATTTTATGCCATTAATAAATTCCTTGAGCGGGCAGCAAAAGCTTTAGGAGTATCAGCAAGGGTACTGACAAATGTTGTGGAACACAAACATTGTTAGGGTGATGCGAAGCAGGTAGGGGTCGGGTCAAAATCACACAAATTAAAACATTTGGACAACTTTCAAAAGAACCTTGTAAGGCAAAGTCTATCAACAAGCTCTATTCTGAAAACAAATACATGTCGCTGAAAATTTTAAAAAAGCGTTTGAAGCAAGAACACAACCTCAGAGTATCAAAGTACACACTCTGGCGACTCTTACACTCTTTCGGGTATCGTTATAAGAAAATTTCGGGGGAGAATAGGTCAGTACTCTGTGAACGCCCTGATATCGTTCGCCTGAGAAATAATTTTCGCAGGGTTATAAAGAAGAAGCGCAAGGAAGGGTTCGAGCCTGTGTACTTGGACGAGACCTGGGTCAATGCCTCGCACACTGCCAGCAGTCAGTTGGTACCCGATAGGGGTGATAAGGGGTCACGTAGAAAGCTGCCTCTAGGGAAAGGAGAGAGACTAATCATTCTCCATGCTGGTTGCTCCAGCATAGGCTTTCTCCCAGGCTGCGTGGTATTCAGGGCAAAGTCCAAGATAACAGAGACTACCATTGAAATGATATGGGGTATTGTCAAAGGAGATGTTGCCAGATCAAAAGACGACTTTTAGATTACGTCACGTAGAGGTTTTGGTTAAGGAATCCTTAACAAAATCACGACTCGAAACTTGGCAAAACTGTGTCAACAAGGTGGCTAACGTCATTGAACAAGGTTACTAGTCTCGATGGCTTACAACAGGCAACTGTGGCACCACTTGTCATCTTTAAGTCGACTATGACACTACGACAGACGAAACTATGGTCGAATTGCCATCGCGTGGCGCGTAAAAGAACTACCGTGGGCGACGTCGCCCACGACGTCGCATAAAAGACGACGTCGCACGACGTCGTCCACGACGTCGCGCAGAAATACACAAGAGATCTACGACAAAAATGTTAATCGATTCGTCCACGACGTCGGGGAATAACCTTTGACGTCGCGGGCAGTCGTGTTTAGAAATTGTTATATGATGGAAAATAATAACTCACTGCAGTTATACTGCTATTGATTCTAATCACTATTTCATGTTCAACATTACTACTACTATTTAAGTAAAACCAATCAAGGGTAAGCGCCAGAACACCTTAAGTAAAAAATTCTGTCAAATTTAGTTGATGCTTGATGTTGTGAAAACGGTGTTGTTTTAAAGGATCAAAACACTGGTTTTCTACAAAATGTAAAATGTCTCCACTCAGGAAACGAAATATGACTTTTGTACCAGCGGGTTGACATGTGAACCAGCGGGTTTAGTGGAGTGAGTTTAGTTCACTCAGTTCATTAGTAGTGAGTTATTCAATTTCTTACATAAACGTGCAAGCTATAAGAATGTTGGAATTGACAGTTTTCATCATCATTTCCACAAATTCAGTTATGGAAAATGCACAATAGGTTTCTTTATACTTCTCGTGGTGGAACATACATATATGTAAATGGTTATATGTTTATTGTGAACAAGAAGAAAAGGGGAAAATGGATCTCGTGGAGATGCATTCAGAACGACTGCATATCAGTCTTATCAGTGAACGACATAATTTCCCAAGTACCTGGAGACCACAACCACGGACCTGTACACAGCGAAGTCAAAGTGAATCTTTCGACTGTACCAAAAATACTGACGGCCCCTGCACAAACAACAACCTCCGGGTTGCAATTGGCATGGCCGTCTCATGAAGGTTGTGGTAAAACAACATCCCACCCTATTCGAGATGGCCCAAGTTCCTGGAAGATGAACAAGGACTGAACGAGGCAAAGATGCTTCAGTACAATGCCGGCCAAAGACTGACCCCAAATAGAAGTACAGAGATTTGGAGGAACGACTAGATACCTTGAAGTTCAGGCTTGCAAATAACCACCCGACATTGATGGAGTACCTGGACAATGACAGATAGACACACAGACAGTCACACAGGCTTTATTCAGTAGTTAAGGCCCAGTGGCCCAGAGTACAATTGAAGTTACTCAATTACAACTATTGGTCACGTGACATTAAATTATGATTTTACATGTGATTTACGGATGGACATCAAATGTTTCATGAAAATGGCAACAGATTTAATAATATCAGCATTATTAGAATTAAGTACATTGAATATCGTTTGTGGGGCATCATTAGTGCATTTTATATACTTCTTTCGGCAGGCAGAGAAAGTCTTACAGACTAATAATAAGTGTCGTTCGTCTTCAGTTTTACCAGAAGAACAATAAGAACATGATAAATCTTCCAATATATTATTATCTTTTCTAAAACGTTGTATTTTTAAGGCATGAAGAGAGATTTTAAATTTACAAAAAATTTCTTAAAAGGGACTTATCATTAAGAACACTGACATATTTTGCAGGTCCGAACATCGATTTACATTGTGAATAATGACTAAGAAAACTGGATGAATTGACTGATGCGTACCAACTGTGAATATATATCTTTTATTCGTTGTTTAAATGTTGACAAAACATTTTTATATCACCAACATTTTGCTTAAATCAAACATTTATCCATTTATCCAGTGATAACAATATTTGACAGCTTTGATAGGGGTAGCGATAATCAGGCATTCTTATAAGTTTAATCCAGTATCTAATAACTCTCATTTGACTCTCAATATGCATGTTATAGCATCCTGTTTCGCCAAGTATGGCTTTATTGGAAGCAAATATACCTTCTGTAAGAAATCTTTTAAAATAAGATGCATGGACATTTTCAATGGCTTCGAAATAATTTGCTCCCCATATTATATGGGAAATTATGACATGATTATATATGTTAAAAGAAATATACTAAATCACAACCTTTTGTAATATGTTATAAAGGATCAAAGAAAGTATACATTTACACAAACACACATTCCTATGTGTTTTCATTGTATTCTAAACCGTAAACAACACCAGCCCAAATCCGATCGCCAGCGCGTATGCATATGCTTAAATTTGCTAGTACACATGAAAGGCAAAATGGTATTATATCTACTAGTACCTAAATACTTCTTTATAGAGTCTCAAAGCGTAGTATTTTAAGCAAACACGTTGCTCGAAGTGCAGCCTTCATTTCTATATATTCTGAACAAACACACTGTGTCACAAGCGTTCGGTCCGGCTTGGCTCGAGTCGTCTAAAGCACCTAACACCTCAAAGGTGTATCTTTAATTGTGCTTAAATCCATAGATTAGTATTATATCTACATACATATCACATTGAAATGTTACAAAATGCCACATGTAAAGGTAACTGCTCCGTTAAAGTGAAGCCCCTGTCTGCCAACCCTCAAAATAGCCTCAATCAAAGTGTTCAGTCTGTTCGGCCCGACTTGGCCCGGGCTGTCAAAAACTTTAAACCTCAC